AGCTCCAGGAGGTGAGAAGCTCTGTGGACTCCACCAAAGAGCTCGATGGATACAAGCAGCAAAATAAGAAACTTCTTGAGGACTTTCAAGCTCGGGAAAGTTCAATTTTAAAACTTGAAGAAGAACTTCAGTCACTGAGAAGTAATATGGACACCACCAAAGAAGAACTCGACTGCTATAAGCAGCAAAACGAGAAACTTCTTGAGGAACTGAACACGCGTGAACTCTTCACTTCCAAGCTGAAAGAGGAGCTCCAAGTGGTGCAGACAGCCTTGCTGACAACAACAGGACCTGCTTCTCCATCTCCAGCTCCTCAGCTTCTTTCCTCTGCTGCTTCCACTTCCACCTCACAGTCCAAAAGAAAAGGAGCTAAACATCCAACTGCTAAGGGAGGCAGTTCCAAAGATAAGCCCTCGCTCTCTAAGAGAAACGTTGCCTCCTCCAGTCATTCCAACAGCAGCTCAGGTCAGCAGCGCGTGGCTGCGACCGACTCGTTTACGCAGACCGAGCCGCTCCAAGAGTCTGATCTCAATCCGGACGGCAAGTCTGCCACCAAAGAAGAGATGGAGGAAGTGATCGGAGATTTTCAGGAGAAGATTGCGCAGATGCAGGAGCTCCACGCGGCAGAAATCCTCGATATGGAAGCGCGGCACATTTCTGAGAGCGATAACCTCCGCCGGGACAACCAGGCTCTGGAGGATGAATGTAAAGCCATGAAAGCCGCCATCAACAAACTGTGCTCGACCAAGGTGATGAGGAATATGTTCAGCTTGGAGTAAATTTTGTATAGCTGCTGTGTGAGAAAGAAGTGTTGGATAATGTGGAGAAAATGCTGTTTTTTAATTTTAAAAACTGCTTTTAAAGTAGATTTTTGACCCTTTAAATGTAGAAGTATCTAAAGTATCAAAAGTAGAAGTATATCCTACACAGTATTATCCATAAAGCACACTGAGAGAATGGTTTAAACTTTCTGTCACCCTCTAGGCTCCTCCTTCACGACAAGATCGACCTACTTTACAGTTTAAAGATGGATACACTAGCGGTAAGAAGCCAAACCTTTATTCAAGAAAACTCTCAAAAAAACAGATAAGTCAAGTCAAAGTTCCTTTATTTGTCTTACACATCACATGTGGTACATGTGGTGGAATGAAATTGTGTACACAGGGTCCCAGTTACATCCAACAAAAGTATAAAATGTAAAAGAAAAACATTAATAAGATCTAAGATATGAAATAAGAAAAACTTTACACTAAAAATACACTAAGCACAAATAGTACAAAAACAGTACGCCGAACAGCAGCACGAACACGAGTCTGTGTGAGCAGATGAGTATGAATGAACACGGCAGCATGAAATAGATCAGCAGCATGAGATCAGCAGATAAGTGTTTTCCCTGAGTTTTAAGCTGAAAGCAGTCGTGTGTTAGTGCTGAGAGGGAAGTTTGCTTTCTTGTTCAACTGTAGTGTGAAATTTGTCATAGCCTTAATAAGGCTTGTTAACACTTCACTTTACTTAGTTCGGCCTGTAAAGTTTTAAAAGTTTCATTTGAAAATATGATTTTGTTTCAAACATGTATTAAGTGTAGAACCACTAGACTGAGGAACAGCTTCTACCCTGAAGCTGTTAGACTCATAAATCCCTCACCAGGATAATCATTGTAAAGGACAAAAAAAAATTACTTTAATGTGACTTTTCTGTGCTGCTGATTATCTATGCTGCTGATCTTTTGCCTTTATGCTGCTGTAGTCATACCCATCTGCCCACTACAGGCTCATGTTCAGGCTGCTGTTTAATAAACCATATTATTTCACATTATTAGTGTTTAGTGTATATCTTAGATCCTTAATATACTGTTTCTTTTTGTACTTTATATTTTTGCTATTTTTAGGTGTAACTGGGACCCTGTGTACACAGTTTCTTCCCACCGCATGTGCCACATGTGATGCAAATGACAATAAAGAACCTTGAATGTATGTTTGTCGTCATGCAGACAGCAGCTCAGACTACAGCCAGAGGACTGGATATGACCTCCCGAGCTTGCAGCAGGAGTTGAGGACGACTCCAGAGGGTGCCAGGAGAGAAACAGATGATCCACTTCCTGACCGGATAAAAGTATGTTTTTGTATATTAAGAACATTTATACCACAAGGGTATCTTTTAGTGCAGAGCTGTTACTTACTAAAGGATGTGCAAAGATGACACAGTCAGTTGATCCGTCCTGTTTCTGTGTGGTGTTTGTGTAACCAGACGTTGCTCCGTGAGGTGCACCAGGAAGGCATGCAGGTTCTTTCTTTGTCCGAGTTCCCTTTCTCCGAGCCGGGCAACCAGTTCAACGTCGAAGGCTGGGTGAAGGAGAGAGACGCCCTCCTGGCGTCTGTGGAGTCTCTTAAAGACCTCATCACGCAGATGCAGATGCACGGCAAAGCTCAGGTACTGGAAGCCTCGACACGCAGCGTTACAACAGTTTGCTAAAGCTGAACTCGTGAAAATCTGAGGTTAAGGTTGCGAAATTACTAAACGGTACGCCTTGAGGTACCCGTCGATTTTCTATTTGATTCAAAGAATTAAACTTGTAATTTTTAAAGTGGTCTTGAGCGACATTTTCTTCTGAATTATTTTTTAAAGTTATTCAAAGTTGTTTTTTTTGTTAGACATGAGCTGGTTTAATGAATTTGTCCACTTTTTGTAGATTGCGATGCTGATGCAAGAAGTCAATTTTGTCTCTTACAAATTGTTAATTGTGACATTTTCTTTACGACTGTAAGAAGAGAAATGTGAAGTAATTGTGTTTGCCACAGGCTACTATTAACTAACTTATCAAGATGTAAACATTTGTTTTGCTAAGCTGTCTGTTTGTGTACGGCAGCGACAAACTCCCAGATGTAGGTGGAGCTTTTTTATTTTTATTCCTGAATAAGTCATAGGTCAGTGTTATTTGTCTAAACAAACAACAAAATTATCACATCTAAAAAACAGGTTGGTAAAACAACTGGGCTCTAAATGCGTAAAAAGACCGTCAGTTAATTAAAAAAAATACAATAAACTTGATGTATTGCTGCTCAAGACTACTTTAATTATATTACAAAAAGGTTTGACTCTTTGGAAGAAAATAAAAACTGGATCAAAGCTTTTACTCCGTTTTATTATAAGTTGATGCATTTTTCTTGATAATTTCTCTTTTGGCTTCATCATTTTTTTTCTAATAAGAAAGAATTCATTAAAACGTGTTTTGCCAAATAACATTCTGTTTTTATTCTCCTATTTTTATTTGCATTTCTGTCACTTGCAGCAGACGTCCGGCTGTGCAGACTGGCGTGCAGAGCTACTGGACGCAGTCCGCCAGGTTTTTCTGAGGGAGAGGAGCGTGTTGAAGAACGCCCTCTACAGCCAGCTGGACCTGCTGGACACCAGCGACGCTGTTGTTCACCTCAATCAGCTCGAGCGCAGACTGGCAGAACAGGTCAGGAACAACTGAGTCTTCCTAAGACTGTGATTTTAAAGGTCACAGCTGTGCACAAGTGTAGAAAAGCCTTTTTAAATGTGCAATATCTGATCTAACAATGTTCTTATGGATGGATAAAAAAAAGCCAAGAACATAGTTTTTTTTCTGTTCCTGTCATTTGAAGCAGTCTAACTAAAATCACGTTGACTGTATAATTCTGATACAGGACGCCCACCACAGGGAGGCCATGGGTTTGCTTCACACAGCAGAAAGGTCAAGTCTTGTCTCCGAAATTCACCAACTTCGTGGTCAACTAGAACAACTTCATCAAAGTAAGCCAGCTCTAAAGCATTTACTTGATTTTATTTTTATCCTTATACGGTCTTTATTTATCTATAAATATGTTTGTTTGGTTTTTAAAAAAGCATAATTTTTCTTATTGTTTAGCTCCAGTTCTGTCATATTTAGTTTAATCAAATTAGATCCTAACTATGATGTGGATTATTTTTGTGTTTTTGTTGTTTAGGTGCCCAGCCTGGCCTCACGGTGACTGCTGAACGTAGCACAAAGGACCAGAGGGCGAGAACTGGAACCGATGGAGCAGCGGAGGCCGACAGGCTTCTCGTAGAGGAGCTGAAGGTCGAGCTTTCTCAGACTAAACTGGAGCTGGAGACGACACTCAAGGCCCAACACAAACACCTCAAAGAACTGGACGCACTCAGGTGAGACACACGAATGCACAACCGTGATGATTTTTTATTCTGCAGTTTAATTTAATGTTGATTCAGCACTTGGACGAAACTTTAAAAAGTTTTAATGAACAATTTATTTATTTCTACAAATAAACTTGTCTTTTTAATCTTTGAAAGTAAGATGAAAATGTATTTTGTGTGAGAATCCATTCAGCTTCTCAAGTTTTATTTAATTTTTTTTGCTACAATTGTTGAATATTTGAATTTTGGTTCACACATACATTGTCACTTTTAGTAAATGCTCCCTTTAAAGTCAGTCCACAACACCATGACCAGCTAAAGAAAGTCAACTCAAGTTAAAGTTAGGGTTAACTCATGGAATAAAGAACATATAATCTGAAAAGGCAGAGCAAATTATACTCTATCAAACTTTTTACAGCTGCTTTACAGGCTGCACAGATCAGTTTTTTAAAGTGGCAACGACTAAACATTAAATTTACATGTTCTTAAACATTATTTAACAGGATAGTTCATTCTGGCTAAAAATAAAAATGCAATTCCTTAAGAAACGCACTCAAATTATTGCTATAAACTACAGGCAGATATCTGGTCTACAAAAAAACTCTACCTGAATATCAAGACAAGTTGGCTTTAAAAGGTTTGGTGAAAAGAAGACCTAGAAAGAATTGTTTCTATTTCAGTGGGTAAAATCGTATATTGTTAAACTGTAGCTCATTATTTTGATCTCAACAGGGTGGAGGTATCCCAGAAAGCTGCAGAGCTGGATGCACTGAATGACCAGCTGACGGAAGAGAGGAAGAGGAGCAGAGAGTTTCAGTGGATGGTGGAGAAGGAGAAGTGTCAATCTGGAAGAAATGAGGACAGCAGACGAGAGGAGCTGGAGGTGAGGCAACAAAAATACCTATTGTTTGGAGTTTGTGCTCTTTGATGTGCATTAGAAATGCTTAAACATCATTTTATTAAGCTCAAGTTTTAATTTTCCCTCTAGGACTTGCAGCTGGCTCTGGAGGAGCAGAAGGCTCATGCCGCCCAGCTAACCCAGACCCTGGAGCAGGAGCGGCAGGCCTCCTCCCAGCTCTCCCAGAAGGTTGAACAGGACAACCTGAGTCTCCACAGACGTCTGCAGGAGCTCCAGGTCCAGCTAGAAACTGAGCGAGCCAAGGCTCTGGAGATGAGCTCTGCTTTGGGGAGAGAGAGGGAGCTGCGGACTGGCATCTCCTCCGAAAGAGACCCCTCCATTGAGGAAGGTGCCCGCGAGGACAAGAGGGACTGTGCAGAGGAGAGGAGTCTGCTGGAAAGACTGCAGAAGGAGCTGGATGAAAAACATTCACAGGTGTGTTTGTTTTTCTGTACTTAATGTGAACTTTCCCCAAGAAAATTCAAGTAGCTCACAGTAACAAAATTAAAGCTTGGAGATTTTGATGGTCTCAAACACATTATTTAACTAAAGTGGCCTTTCTAACAATTGAAGACTTTGGCTTTCTTTAGTTTTAGCACCCGTCCTAGTTCATTTCTTTTTCAAAGTTTAGCGTGAGGAAAATTAGTTATCTGCATTATTTTTTGTCTGATCTCATTTAAATCCTGTAGAATACTCTTTTAAATGGAGACACTACAGGGGAACCGTTATTTTGTTCTATTTCAACAGTAAAATCATTCTCCTTTTAACATATCTGGACTCTTATCCCTGTCTCTAGACGGTGCATCTCCTCAGTCAGGTCGAAGCCCAGCGGCTCGAAGTTCTTCGAAAAGTAGAGGAGCTGGCACTGGCAAATCAGAAGTCCAAACGAGACGAAGAGGTGCTGGTAGAGGTCCAAGCCCGACGGGACGTGCTGAAAACACAAATGGCAGATGTTCAAGAGCAGCTAGAGAGAGAACAGGAGTGGAGGAAGAATCTGGAGGAAGAGAATCAGAGACTGGAAGAGAGGCTGAACCAGTTAGGACAGGAGGAGGAGAGTGGAGCGCCACAGGTCGGCAGCCAGAGTGTGAGTGACAGAGAATGTTGTTCCGTTTACTCAATGCCACGAGCTGTATTAAAGCCAAGTTTTTATTATGTAAACAGCAGGCTGTTTGGCACAGTGAGTCCACCGACCGCACCAAAGACTGGGTGCTCCAGCAGAAGAATGACGGCGCTCAATCAGCCACAGCGTCTCCTCGTGTGGACGTTTCTCCTGCAACGCACGCCAGCGGGACACACCACGGTCCTTGGCGGACAGTCGATAAGATTGTGGGAAAACTTCACCTCATCTCCTCAAAGATTCACAGCATGACCAGCAAAACGATCAACGGGTAATCCAAGCAGCCTTGATGAGGATTACATTTGAAATATTTTACTTTTTTACAGAGCTTTTACTTTGTGAGTTCAAACCTAGTCCAACAAATAAAACAAGATCAGGACCTCAGTAACTTAGCTACAGCTGTGTCTGTGGTCCAATCACTTAACAAAACTTGTGATAATGGAAAACCTCCTTAAACCAACTTTTAGGCAACATCACTTGTACCAATCAGAGAAATTAAGACATTCTTGTAGTTTAACAAAGTCCAATTTAACATCAGAAGCAAAAGCATGCCCATAAAATGTGGTTTACTTAATTTAAATAAGCTTTGTGTTTATATGCAGCTCAAAAATGTATCCTTTTTGTTCCATTAAATTCACTGATTTAATTGTTCTCTTGAGCCCATGTTGCATCAGGAAGAGCATCTTTTGTAAAATAGTTGCCAAATGTTTCATGTCAGTCCGCCTGCTGTGTCGACCTCTGCGGAAAGGAGCAGCTAAAAGAAAAACTGATTTAATATTTTGTGTGTCTTTAAAAGCTCGACTGCAGAGGTTGACGGTGAAGAGTTGTCATGGATCCAGTCCAGCGTTGATGAGGTCATCAACATGCTGCAGCAATCCCCAGGTTTACCCTCCATCCCAGAGGTCAGTTTTTCCTCTCTTTAAAGATTTATCTGTACTGATTGTAAATTTATTTATTTGTACAACTTAAAGCATGTGATTGACATATTTTGGTTAAAAAAAACACAATCAGCTGTTCATCTGAATGTTTTCTAAACAACATCTGCTGATGTTGGTTGTGGCTGCTCATCTGTTAGTCTCAGAGTGCATCCCTGCTGCCAGGAGGCTCCTCCAGCTCCTCCAACAACCTGACGGAGCGGCTGCTGAGGCAGAATGCCGAGCTGACGGGGTTTGTCAGCCGTCTGACCGAAGAAAAGAATGACCTGAGGAACCACACGCTGCGATTGGAAGAAGAGCTCCGACGCTATCGGCAGGCTGGCCTGGGATCAGGCGACGGCGTGAGTTCATCGCAGAAAAAACAAACTGTTCATTCAACCTTTATTTATACAGATTAATCCCATTGAGCCTCAGGGACTCATTTACAAGAGAGACCTGATTTTTTTTAACAAAGAGTGATGACAACAGTGGATAACAACGACAACAATAGACAATCATAAAAGAGGCATACAATTTTATTTTTCTGTTAGAGACTGAAAACATACAGTGGTATTTGTTCCTGTTTAACTGGACAAATCTTTCCTGTAGTGAAAAGAAACTGAGACTTGGAAAATAGTTCCTCTGTAAATTAGTGTATCTTTTTGGCGATGACCCTTATAACTTTGGTGTTTTGACATCCAAGTTAGCTTGGAACGCTATCTAGAAGCTAAAACAAACAAAATGATTTCTAGATGTTTAACATAGAACGTTTGGCTAAAAGTACAAAATAAGGAGACAAAAGTAAAGTATCAAAAGGTTAGCTAAAATAAAGTAAAATAAAAAAATTTAAAGGGTGCTTATGAGCTAAAACTAGCAAAAGGTGGGTTAAAAGCTAACAGTAGCAAAAAAAAAAAAGAGCTAAAAGCTAAAGTATCAAAATGGTAACTAAAAGTAAAAAAAATGTCAGCTAGGTATAAGCCAACAGTAGGAAAAAGCTGACTAGAAGCTGCTGGTCAAAAGCTAAAAGTAGCTAAAGGATTTTTTTTTTTTTTTTTTTTAGCTTTTTAGCTATTTTTCGGCTACAGTACTGAAAATGGGTATAGAAAATACAAAAATGAAAAGTTTTATGAATGAGCTGAACTTATTAAATAAATGGCACAAAGTATGTAGAAGTAGTTAGATTACAAAAACACAAAAAAATCTTCTTAAAAAAAGAAAATTAAACACAACATGTGATTGCTGAATCCGCATTTAACATATTAATGAAGCAAAAGTAGTAACTAAACTTGTATTTTCTTTTCATTATTTCTTATTTCTGCAGTCCAGCAGGAGAGGAGGATCAAAGATGGACTCTGCAGGTTTGATATTCTCTCAAGAGCAGGAGTCGTGGTCTCGAGAGAAGATCCGACTGGAGAAAGCTTTACATGTGGCTCAGTCCCAGTTGGCTCGACTCAGGGGAGAAATCAGGTCCGAAACACTTCGAGAGATAACCGGGCCCGAGGCTGATAATTCTGCACTAAAGGTCAGCAAAAAATAAAAGATGAAAAGCCACTGATGATTTCATTTGGGGCTTATAAAAAGCTGTTTAACTCCAACCAAGACCACATAAACAGTTTTATGATGGAACTACTTTGTCACCATCTTCAGAGGATGTACGGGAAGTACCTGAGGTCAGAAAGTTTCCGGAAAGCACTGATCTACCAGAAGAAGTATCTGCTGTTACTGCTGGGCGGTTTCCAGGAGTGTGAGGAGGCCACGCTGTCGCTCCTGTCCAGGATGGGCGGCCATCCTTCTCTCTCCAGCCTGGAGTCCTACAACCAGCGCCGCCGCGGATTAATGCGCTTCCGCTCTGCCGTCCGAGTCTCCATCGCCCTCTCCAGGTGAGCTGCCGGAGCTTCACGCTATTTGGCTTTTAAAGGCGGCGACAGCACTGATTTGATTGTTTTCGTTTGTACAGAATGCGTTTCCTCGTGAAGCGATGGCACAAGGCGACGGGGATGAGCTCCACGGTCTCCTGCAGCGCCAACAAGAACGGTGCAGGTCAGACGATGGGAAACAGAATGAGGCCTCTTTTGACTTTTCTAATTATCGTTTTGAAGGAACTCGTGTTTTTTTTAATAAATCTTTTTCAGGTACGGAGGTGAGGGATTCACCATATCTTCACCCGAGCAGTGTGGACATGTACAGGGAACGAGGAGGAGGAGGAGTGTCCAGCAGCAGGGGGAGAAGTGGGCGTGAATCCCCACGATCAGGCGTCTCCCCCACACAGCACAGGTACAACTTTCAATACAGCTGCTGCTAATGCTAAATTATTATTGTATAATGATAATAATTAATTTTTTTTAATCAGTGTGGTCAACAAAACCTCAGGACCCATGTTGATGTTTTTCTACATTTTTTTATCCATCAGTTTAATCTAATAATATTTATTTGATTATGAAAAAAACAACAAAATCCTTGTATTTGTCATGCTATTGTGGAAAAAAAAAACATGAGCAATTTAAATTTAAATAGAAAATCATTGTGTTGTTGTGCGTGTGTGTACTTGTGATGGTAGTGCAGTTCAAATTAAAATCACGTCATTGTGATAAACGACTGATTATTTTGAATTATTATTTTATCAGACCTATTTTAGCACACGTATTCTGACTTGTAAGAGGCATGAAAGCACGGGTGAATTATTCAGGGATGTAGAAGAACTGTTCATTTGCTTAAGTCAAAAATGTCTGCAGTGATAAATTGAAACAAACTCAAGAATTTGGTTCGCAAGTTTAAATTCCATACGTGTTTGCAGCAAACGCAAGATAAGAATTGTATGTGCCTTCTGAAACGGCTGGGTTTAATGAAACAAACTGGCACCATTATCAATGGTTTTTTATATATATTTATTTATTTTTACACAAAAAAATTTGTTGGGGTTATCATTCAAATCTTAAATCAGTACTCCTTTGTTATTGGTCTGGTGGTACTTTATTATATACTGTCCACACTACCTGTTAAGTTTGGACCTCCAGCTGCACCTGTATTCTTCAAACATTTTAAATTCATTTTAAGTAGTTATAACTCTTCTGCACTAGTCTCCTCAGCTTTTATTCAAGTTTTTACTATCCTTCTCATTTTTCTCTATCATTTACCTTGTATTTTCATGTGTTCTTGTACTATCATCTGTCTTTTTTCTTTTTTTTTTGCACATTGTTTTGCTAAATGTCACCAGTCTGCTTTGGAAAAACTCTTTTTCAACTGTTCAAGCACTTTATGTGAGCGTGCTAACAATCAGCATTCTTGAGCCTTTAAAAGTATCAATATTTTCACAGTTTTTACTCCTTTGCTAACTTAAATTAAATGTATTGATGCTCAAATATAAAATGACTCAGTAAATTAGGTGTTTTATGATTTGTTTGGATGTTTTGTCAGGCTCCACCTGGCTGCAGACCACGGGCCTCTCACCTGTTCCCACCTGCAGAGCTACGACCCCGACCGGGCGCTCACCGACTACATCTCCAGACTGGAGGCTCTGCAGAGGAGGCTGGGCAGCGTCGCATCAGGTACGCATACAGTCCAGAGGATAATAATGTTCTATCTTTATGTACTAAACAGGTTTTTCTTTTCTCCCCAGGTGCTTCTTCATATGCTCAATTGCACTTTGGCTTGAGAAGATAGATGCTGACAAATGACTTTGGCTTGAAGTAACTCAGTTGCCTTTTCTTGTGCTGAGCGCTCCGCTGTTTTCTATCATTCTGCTGTGGACTGTATCTCCATGTGGACCAAAACATTTTTTTATTAGTGTACGACATGTTGTATTCAGGCTTTTTGTCGCCAGCACTTGGAGGAAAAAAGCAAAACGTAACAGCGATGTTTGTAATTTAATCTGCCTCTTCGTTGTGGATGATCAACAATCGTGTATATTTGTCTAATGCTAATTTAAGGACTTTGTGATTAATTTATGTTTGTGTTGAATGGGTGGAGCGTTACGTGGAGGATGTTTGGGTTTACCGTTCAGGAGGCTGCTACTGGATCTTCACTACACTGTGTTTTGTTAAGGCGGACAGACTACAGAAGACATTTGTAGAGAACGTATTTTTGTAAAGCGTAGGAGCTTTGAATTTTTGGGGTATTTTGTCAAAAACTGAAATAAAGAGTACTACATAATTTCAAAGAGGTTTGTGTGTGTGTGTGTGTGTGTGTGTTAGATATGCCCACCGCTAAAAAGTAAAGGTGAATAATAATGTGTGTGTGCATGCCTGTTATTAAAATGTGAACCACTGGGCAAACTTTAACGAAACTTAGAAAATACTCGTACTTAACTTTTTAAGTTAATCTAATTTAAGATGGATGCCACCTTCATTCAACCTTTATTTATACAGGTTAGTCTCATTGAGCCTCGAGGACTCACCAACAGCTTATTTTAAAACGCATAAAAATGGCTGTAAATGTCAGTTCTACAGATATGGAGCTAAATTTAGGTGTGATTGTAGCTGAAGGTCATACTTGAACCATTATGTGAGGTCTTTGTAAATGTTTAGCTGTTTGTTAGCAAAATATCTCCTGGACCACTGCGTGGATTGTAATGAAATAATCAGTGGATGTGCGTCTATAATGAACGGTCTAAAATTCAGTTCAAGATGGCTGCCACAGCCAGTTCATATAAATAAACAAAACATTGGTTATAGCTCAGCCACGTTTATAAATGTTCAAATAAAATTTGATGAGTCAACAACATGCGGAGCGGAGCGTGGCATCTCATCACAAAACTAACGTAAAAATGTTATTTTCCAAGTTTGACGAAAGCATCTACAACTTTATTAACATAAAATATTCTTAAAAGTTTAAAATGAGCATTTAAGAAGGATATGAATTCCTTCAATTATAATTCTCATGAGAAAAATAATGTTTCCTTAATGGATTACAGTTGGATTTAAAAAAAATAACTAAAATGGGATTACAAATGACATAGATGCATGAGTTTTTTTTTATTCATATTTATTTTAAAAAATGAAGACCAGAAAAAGCTTTTTTATTCAAAAAACTATTTTCTGTCCTCTCTGAGAGCACACTTCAGTCAGTTCAGTTCTCTTCTCTGCAGTTCTGATTTAAGATATTTTATCAGATCTTTTAAACCTAATGTTTGAAAGGGTTAAAGCTACCAGTACATTTATTACATTTCATTTATTTTTAATTTGATCCTAGCTGCAGCTCCTTTCCAAGCTGTAATAAGGGGATTGAAAGACAGTAAAAGGTGTGCAAGAAAACATCCAACCTTTTAAAAATTTAGTGACAGCAACAGTTACTTGACTCGGTTCTCAAATATTTAAACCGTTTTTTTCTTAAAGTAAAACTGATGTTGAAGCTAACGAAGCACAAAATGATAGTCATTTTCAAACGATGCTCTCCCCCCCCCAACATTTAAGTTGTTTTTATCTCTAAGGCCTTAAAATTGTTTGCAAATCACAGTTTTGACTCACTTTTTGGAATAAAGTTTGCTTTTTAACTTTGGAACTGCAGGATAAAATTTATATACTACACACAGAAAGTGCCTCGATCGCAACTTATATATGTACTTGGTCACAGTAAAAAACATGGTGCAATTTATATAAAGTTAGCACTGTGAAATTTATAGACTGCATCATTCAGCTTATCTGGGTTATTTCTCAGCATGTCCATGTTTCATTTTTTTGTCGTGATTTGCAGAGAAATATCATCTGAGTGAGTTAAAAGCTCCACGTTTCAGAAATTTCTTAATGATCTTCACAAGCTGCTTTTGTACGAAGAAAAACACCAACTGCAAGGCACCATCGATCAGGAGATCCATCACCCAAAAAAGCCAGTGAATGTACCACAACAAAGCAAAGTACTGGAAACGTAATGTCTCCTGCCGTCCTTGGCTCAAAATGACCCCGCAGGTTGAACTTTATTTCATAAAATAAGAGGTTCCTATACAAACTTAAAATCCACAACATATTTCATGACTACAACAGTAAGTAGCCTCTAGAGTAAAAATGTATTTAAATTTGTCGTGATTTGCTGATGAAAACGCTTCAGTCCATTTTGCTTTTCCTCTAAAGCAGCGGTTCCCAACCCTGGTCCTTGAGGAACACCGTCCTGCGTGTTTTAGTTGTTTCCCTGCTTTGACACACCTGATTTGAGTGATTAACAAGCTTCCGTAGCGTTTGATGCTGTAAATAAATCTCCGAATCAGTTGTCTTGGAGCAGGGAAACAACTAACATGCAGGATGGTGTTCCTCAAGGACCAGTGTTAGGAACCACTGCTCTAAAGTTCAGCTGCAACGTTTTGTTAAGTACTTCAACACAAAGTTAACAAACTTATACTGACATATAATAATGTTCAGGAAATGTTTTACCCAATTCGCTGTAATTTTGTTATAGTTTATGACAGAATACCTGACTCTGTACACACAGAAGAGATGGGAGTTTGTTAAAAGACTTTATAGCTGACATGTTCACGAGGAAAAGTTTGATCTGATGGTTCAGATTGTCACATCTGTGCATTCTCAGTTATTTATGTACTGACAAAACATATGGGAATGTTGTTCTCTCAAATCTTACATTGTTCAGACATTGTTTGTAGCAAAGCCCCACTCCCCCACCCCCCTCGTTTCATACACTGAGGAGCTGCAGCTCATTCAGGAGGCAAGACAAGAAGAGAGCATGCTCGCAAAGCGGAGTACTGTATAGCAAATTATTTGATTAAAAGGTTTGTCAACTATTCTGCTGTTGTGACCGCAGGGGTTCCCAACCCTAGTCCTTGAGGAACACCATCCTGCATGATTTATTTGTTTCTCTGCTCTGACACACCTGATTTTAATTAACGGGTTATTAACAGGCTTCAACAGAACGTGAGGAAGTAATTAAATCACTGAATCAGGTTTGTTGGAGCAGGGAAACAATTAAAACATATAGGATGGTGTTCCTCAAGGACCAGGGTTGGGAACCACTGGTTTACAGTAAAAATCAAAACAAAAAAAAGATTAATTACAAAGTTCTAGGATAAATTTAGTCTGAATTCTAACAGTAAATTTGTCTCCTTGTCATAAGGCACCTTAATTCAGTTTTTTTTTTTCTTTATGCTTTAAAAACTCATTTGAATGCGAGTATATCTTTGAAGCTGGAGTAACGATGCATTTTTCTCTAATGTATTCTTTGACATTTGCATTTTAGACTGAATAACAGAAGTGTAAAAGCACAGAATGGTAACAAGGCGCATTCATCCGTATTTTCCTCAAATCAAGTCCCAGGATGTGAGAACTTTCTGGAAGTCACCTCCTGTCTTTTGATTCTCACATCGCTCACTGTCTCTCACAGCTTCCTCCTCCTGTATCTGATGATGGGGTTGTGAGGGGTGTGGATCATTGTGGTGTAGTTGATTGTGGGGAAATATCCGTCCACAAGGTCGAACTCGTACAGGCGCAGCAACGTGGACCAGATGGTTTTGATCTGGACATAAGCAAAGTTTTCTCCGATGCAGCGATGACGCCCTGAAGATGGTAAAGAGCAGTTAATTTTAAAAATCTAAATCGACAAACGATCAGTTCGGTGACACAAATATCAAATTCTTATCTTACCAGCTCCAAATGGTATGTAGGCAAATTTCTCTCCTGCAGCAGGGTTGTCATTAAGGTATCGATCAGGGTTAAACTCCATCCTCTCCACCCAGGTGTCCCGCAGACGGTGGTTGACGGTCGGGGAGACGCAGATTTGATGACCCACAGGGATGGTGTACCCCGCAGCAGTCTGAGAGCACGGATACAAATGTTGGCTATAATTTTTTTATAATTTGAGATTATGTTGGGTTTTTTTTTATTAAAGAGTAAAAGATAAGATTGAGATTAGGAAAATGTAGCTGATATGTAATAAGTAAATTCACCTGAGGCGTTCGAGCCATCCTCATCATGGTCATTATTGGTGGGCGGAGCCTCAGAGTTTCCTTTAAGCAGCGCTCCAACAAACTGAGATCCTTCAACTTAAAAATATAACAAACAGTCAGTAAAATAAAAATAAGACTTGCAATTTATCTCACAATATGTATTTAAAAGCTAAATATCTACACGCATGTTAGATTATGTAAAAAAAATTTTTTTTTTTTTTTGCTGATTATTTTTTCCATTTTTAATTCAATGAAATTTTGCAGTTTTTTGCATTCTTTTTTGTTTTCTACAAACTACGGTCTTCTAAAAGGTAGTTTTCTAGCTTGATTGCAGTTTTCTGTTTGGTATTTGTTTCTATTAAAGTCAAATGTTAGCTTATGACAGCTAATGTTTATTGTTGCTGCACTATGTGGCTGTATCATGTATGATACAGCATCTATGTACCTTACCGTCATCAATCTCAGTGTCACTACCTGTGCAATAACCTGTCACACAACCTGTGTAGTATATGTAAATTATGCGCAATATATACATAATGTGCACTTTAGCTTATATTACTACCTTGAAATACTTATTAATACAAATTCATCCTACTTGGACCATTAAAATTCTACCATGTTGTTGTTTACTATCTCTCTTTAGGACCTTGTAAATATTAAAATTACTTTTTCACTTTTTGGTACTTTATTTTGTACCCTTATTGCATGTTTTAGTATTTCTTGTTTGTTTTTCTTTGTTTTTAGCAAGTCAAATGTGTTCTTCTCATCCTGAACATTTCATAGTATTGTTAACCTTGTGTTAACCTTGTGTTAACCTTGCATATGACAAATAAACACAACTTGGACTTGAACCTGAATATGTTATTTTGTGAAAAAAAAAAAATTTTGCTTGCTTTTTGTGCTTGGTTTAAAATGTTCTGTTTTAGAGTCTTCTAAAATTTAATAGAGGTTTTTTAGAGTTCTTTCTTATAATGTTTCATCTGACTATTTTGCAATTTTAACCATATTTTCCCATCACACTAAATCTATCTTGTTGGTTAAGGGTTTGGTTGTCCTTAGTTATTGAAATATCTTGTCCGGATCGGTTCATCACACCTTCACAGTCCTAACCTGATCATAGTCGAGCGGTGGCAGACCTTCTCCACACATCGCCTTCTGTTCTGCATAGCAGCGCTCCTGCAGAGCTTTGTCTCTGGCCAGGAAGAACCCCAACCAGGCACTGGTGGTGGAGGAGGTGTGTTGACCCGCCAGCAAGAGACCAATCAGCATCCCTGCGATCTCGTCATCGTTCATTGGTCGACCCTCTCTGCAGAAACACAAGTGTTATGACTTTGACCTGCATTTCCTTAGCATTCTTTTAATAACTGACATGTCAAACAATATTACTGTCAAGTAACGAGGGGGGGGGGGGGTAAAATGTTTGGTTTTCATTGATAAATCCTGATCAACTAAGGCTTTTTTACTTGTAGGTGGAGTCGATGAGGGTCTGCAGGATGTCGTCTACTTTCTCTCCAGATCTCCGGCGTTTTTCAATCACCTTGAAGAACATTTTCTTAATCTCTCTGTGAGCTTTGTCTCGTTTCCTAAAACCAAACATCACTGAAAGAGTTACATATATACACTCTATATTAAGCTGTTGATGCGTGCATTCTGAATACAGTTTGTTTATGCAGTTTGAGATTAAGTAAGGCCATATAAGAAATATGGTAGATCTACCTGAAGCTGGGCAGGGGCACCCAGGTGGGTAGGAGCCAAGCGGCATGGCTGAAGCCTCCGTCCAAGTCGGCATAAAGCTGGGCTACGCGCTCGTTCAGCATGCTGCGGATCTCCTTCCCATGGAGGCAGCTGCTGGCTGTTAAGATGATCACCTCTGATAGAGCCTCAAACAGGTCTGACAGGAGGAAAATGGTTCCAGTGGTAAGAAACAGATACAGTCTTGCATATATAAACGCATCGTATTTATATTAATTGCTAAATATTTTTACTTCTCTCCCCGCTGTCTCCCCATCTCTGGAAATAATCAATGGTCTCTGCCTCAACTAACTTGACGTGCTGTTTGAAACGAGCAATGTTCAGTCCGGTTTTAAACATCTTCTTCTGCTCCAGAAAAACCTGCAGCAGAATACAGGAAATGTGTGCTACAACTACTCGTTTTACAAGCACAAACATGTAATTCAAAAGTGATTTTATGGTTCAGAGGCTCACATTGTTCGGCACATCATAGGCCACCCCTTTACCGAACACTGGAGTGGTCAGTTTGGAATAGACATCTTCTGCGTTCAGATCTTCATTCTTGCTGTTGAACATGAGTGCTGCTGCTTCGCTGCCCAACAAGAAGGTGAAGGTTTTCCCCACCATGGTGAAACTGAACACGGGACCATACTGCAAGAGGGCAGAGAAGAAAATACTAATTGTTTGCTTGTGTAAAAAGGAGCACAGAGATGTGTCAAACTTTGTTTAAACAGAAGTGGCATTTTAAAAAGTTCAAACCCAAAGATACGATGCTGTGGGAAAGTATCGGCCCGACCAAAATGACTCCCAAGAGCGCATCACCGCCTCATCCAGGAGGTCACAAAAGAACCCAGATTACCATCTAAAGCACCACAGGTCTCACTTACCAAGGTCAGTTTTTATGACCTTCATGAGAGCTCCAAGGTCAAAATCACTGCTGATCCAAAAAACACAAAAGCTTTGTCTCAATTTTACCAAAAAAAAAAATCTTTATTATTCTCAAAACTTTAGGGGAAACACTCTGCGATTTGACAAGACCTAAGCGTAACATTTTGGAAGGTGTGACTTGTTACATCTGGCATCAAACTAACCCTGCTTGTACTAACAGCCAAACACGGTGGTGGTTGCATGATGGTATGGGAATGCGTTGATGCTTCAGGACCTGGATGTCTCTCTATCAGGTAATCACAGCACTGTCACAAATAATTATGTTTGAAATCAATTAATAGCTTGAGCTTCAGAATATTGAAACTTACCTTTTCATAAGCATTTTCAAGAAACTCAATGGGGCTTTTTCCAAACGCAATGGCATGTCCGAGGAAAGGGATGCTGGAGGGTATGTAAGGAGGAGAATTCTGTGAAAGCAAAGAAGATGGCAACTAAACGTGACTACAAACTAGCATTATAGACAAAACAATATTCAAAATTGATTAAATTACCAGGTTCTCGTCAGAGGCCTCTTTGAGCAGCCGTTTGGAGACATAACCGAGTGTCAGGGTGAACAACAAACCTGCCAGAACCACTGAGGTTAAACTGTCGTTTAATTCACCGACAGTGTCTCCGAGCAGCTTGGTACTCATCTGGTAAAACTGCGTCGACATTACAGTTTTACACCACTACAACAAAACGAGTGTCCTTACACGAGAGGTGGAACAGAATGAAACAAAAAACAGGACTGTGAAACTCAGGTTAGCGGCCATTTCTACCTGTCATTTTAAAGCCTGCCCCCGCCTGACTATTCTTGGATTTTGATTGGCTGATAGGAACATGTCCGTCAAGCAACTCGGGCTCTGATTGGCTACTGATATCTGAAGCCATGTCTTGCTATATGATGTCACGCTAGCAAGATGATCACTGTCCGTTATAAACTTTTTGTTTACTAAACGGGCTTTATGTGGCCTTGAATTCATTAAATTCATGCATTATAATAAAAGCTCAACCTAATGCTGTCGAGCTACCAAAGGTAACAAAAAAACGCTGAAAGTTGTGTAAATTTTAAGCTAACATTGTTTACATTATTTATTTTTGCACTGTGTACGTCAAATTATTGCCAGTTAAATTAAATATTTGCACATAGTTACGAAATTAGGATATTTTAATTCAACATATCCTTTGACCACATAAATGGGATATTGTGCCAAAAGTTGAGTCTTTTAAAATTGCATTATTTCTGAGTTTTGCAGCGTATTTGCTCATTCGTATCAGTTTAATTTTGCTTTTTGAAGGTAACTTAATGTCATTTACTTTCTTTTGAACACTTCAATGTTTTACTTTTAAACTAAGAAGAGATCAAATGTCTGTATTGTCACTGTTTAAATATTCAACGACGTTGGAAAAAGTCCTTCAGATGAGTATTGAACACTCATCATGTTTAGATTACGCAACAACCAGGACACATTTTTGTCAGCAACATTAAGGTGAAAGATTTAAAACAAACAAGGCGGTGAAAATGTTTCTAAGTGTTGAGTGCATTCATCCTCCAGCATATTTTCAGTCACTTTTGAATGATTTAACTTCACAACTGCATTTGAACACAATTAAAAGAGATCCATTTTTTATTTTATTTAGGTATCATTACTTTTATATTCTACTGTCATGTTTGCAATGATTACCGGTAATTATTTTTGTGCTGTCTTAAAACTTATCAAGTTTCTGGAGATTGGAAAATGTCTTAAAGCAGTCCCATTCAATACAAACAATACCATCTTCACTGGGACAGGCTAAGGAGCAGTCATCCTGCAATGGGAGGGTTGGGGTTCAATTCCACCACTGTGCAGTCACGTGATGTGAAGTGTCCCTGAGCAAGACACTGAACCCCTCATTGCCTCCAACGTGTGTCCCATCGGTGTATGAATGTGACCTAATCTCTAAAGAATGATTTGTTCAATTAGCTTAGATCTAGTAGAGTGCTGTATGTGTGTGGATGGATGAATGAGGGAGCAGATTGTAGTGTAGAGCACTTTAAGTATCTTGATTTGATAGAAAGGTGCTATATAAAAGTCCATTTACCCTTTACGGTTTAAACATTGTCCCCTATCTCTACTTTACATATAGATTACAGTAAATGACTGACTCCTCCAGTTCACATAAAACATCTGTAAACAAATGTTCCAAACAAAATAGCAAAACTATCAGCAGAACAGATATAGAGCAGAGCTCCACAATGATCCAAACATCATATACTATATTTATAGCAGCTATGTGTCTCACTGTCTTTAGACAGAAAACAGAATAATTTCATAATATAGAACAGTCCTTGTTAGCTCATCTTTTGAGAACAGCACACTCGGTGCTCAACCAGAGCATTCTGATAAACTGTTATGTTAATAAATTATAGTTAAAAAGGAAACTACATCTTTTAAATATGGAAAAAAAATGTTTTATCTGTCTCTGAAAGCTGTAAAGTAAACTGCATTAATTCAGAATTCACTGACTTTGTTGTTTGACTTGACTAATGTTAACCTGTTTAGACAGAAACTCAGGATGGGAAGATCATCTCATGCAGTGGTTCACCAACTTCTCAGCTTTTGACCCACATAATGATAGTGACGTCTTCTCTCTCCATATATTGTTAGTTTAAATATACAAAAATTACTAATAACCTTATTCAACCAATGCATATTGACAACACAAATGGTCTTAACATTCACAATACAATTTTTGTTCAGTCATGAATATCATTTTTATTCTTTGGAACACTAACGGGGAGGACAGCAGTGTTGGGGACTTGAAATCCAAACATCAGGTATTTTCCATGTTTAAATATGAAAACCTGTCGTAATTTTGTGATACATGGAAAATAAAACTTGGAAAATGTTGCTAAGTTTTTGCAACGATGTCATGTTTTCTACTTCTTGTAATAAGAGATGTAGTGTATTTCAGATTTATCAGTTTGTTATTTATGGTTTATACAAGAAGGCACTTGTTAACTTGTAAAAACTGCAGTTAAAAAAGGGTATATGCAATTTGTTTATTTGTTAGTGGAGCGTATTCAGCATTAAAAATATTGTGAAAATTATCAAATGAAGCTTGATAAAATTGTCATAGTTTCAGCCAAATACGCCACGAATTAAAAAAAAACCCAACTTATTCACACTGTTTATGAAGTTAGACATTTCCTGACAAATTTTCTTCATACATCTTTTTTATTAAACATTAAATAAAACATATTTACACAGATCAAAATATATGACTTATCAAAATACACAAAGATAAGTCACAACAGATATCAATGAGCTTGTTATACAAAATGAGGCATTTCTGTGGAGAAGCTGTGATCTGAAAGTCCTGCAGTCTGATGATGATGATGATGGTCAGTATGAAGAACCTGCTGTCACGTCTTTGGCAGATGTGGTTTCTTTGAAAAGTTCTCAGCCGTAGGCGTATTTATCCGTTGGGCCTTTCTCACTTGGAGTCATATGTCCACTCAGTTTCATTAAAAGCTTCACAATAAGGCCAGACTAAAATTAAATTACAAACAAGATTAAAGTCAGCTGTACTTCTTTTTACTACACAACGTGCACAAAGTCAGTTGTTATTCTTGAACAAATAAAATAAAACAAGGGGTTCGACTACTCGAACTCTACCAAAGCCATCCCTCTTGACTTTGTACTTTGCTTTCAAGAAACGAGAGTTTCTTATAATGTTTCCAAGTAATCGTATTCATAAAACCAATTTTAAAGACTACAAAAAATGTTAGCTTCTTGAAAGTGAAAATAAAGAGAAGAGAGATGGATCTACTGAACAGCACAGTAAACCATGAAGTTTAAACAATGCTCGAAACTTTAAACCCACAAACGTTTAGTTACCTGCTTTGTGTGCACAATGAAGTTCATTTTGTTGTCACCGCTGTGTATCTGGAAGTACTGGTCCGCGTGTCCAAGCTGCCACATGAACGTGCCATATTCTAAACTGATGAGAAGAACCTGCGAGAGGCATAAGAATAAAATGATTTCATTTCTACAAAATGTATTCTCTCGTTTAATAGTTCAACAAGTCTTTGTAGACAAAAGAGGGAAATCTGACGCGATGAAGATACCTTGGTTTCCATGTTCATGAGGTGCAGTCCCTTCGTGTTGACCCCGACGTACACACGAATGACTTTGTGGTTGCTTGCGCTGGCCTTGGTGTAGACCTGTCCCGTGAAGAAAGCTGCTCCGTAGGTCGGGATGTCCCAGCAGTTCTGTAAGAAGAGTCTCTGCAGATGGTGCATCTCTTTGCTCACACCCTCACTGGTGCTCAGGGCCTGTTAAACAAATGGGATTCAAATTATGCCCAGAAGGAGTGGGATTTTATTCAAAGCATTAACTTAAAACTACCTTGTATTCATGAAGAATCCTGTTGGTCCAATGGTATGCTTTGCTTTTTACTTTTAGTATCGGAACAATTGATTTCAAGTTTTCCTCACTGTTGAATAAAACGAACATTATCTTCTTTCATTCAAGCAAACAAGAAATGCATTTATTAAACCTTACATACAAGGAAAAGGGTAATTTTATCACAATGGATGTTAATGTGACAGGTATTGTTTAAAACGCAAGTCTTACTTAAGGAAGCCTTGTTTGTGCTTCTTGCTCTCATAGTTGCCATAAATGATCTGCAGGAGGAGGCTGGCCAGCGTGATCAGTTTGCTGTCCGGTGCTGGAAAGAAACCCTTCAGGAGGCAGTGACGGGCCTCGTCGAACAGGATGAGAATCGCCAGCGGATCTTCCGCCTTTATTAAAGCAGCAAGTAGAATTCAGGACATTTTCCGACTTCTCCAACAGGGTAAATGTAAATATAAAAGTTGATTTTTGACCCCCAGGGTACCTTTTTTTCAATTTCAAGTGGGAGTCGTACGTCCCTGCGAAGGAAGAGCTGAGGCGTCTCTCTTTGAGGATCCAGCACTGTCAAGTCCGTCACAATTTCTGTCCAGATTCGCAGGTGCTGCAGAGGTTTGTGGTACGGCTTCAACTGCAGGTCTGATCCACACAAAATGCACACCCGCTATTATACAACAGCAGCGCACTTGTAAAAAAAATATATTAACTGAGCACTTAATGTTAAAACAAACAACAACAAACAGTTTTTTTTAACCCTTAAAGTCGACTCACGGAGGTTCTCTGAGCAGATCCAAATGGTGAAGTACTGCTGAGTCTCCTGAGAAAGACGCATGCCCTCCATTATCTGCTGCACAGTTGTGTTGTTGCCGTGTTTTAGCTCCACAGAGCGATAGGACCCATCCATCCGGTATATTCGCACCTTTTCATACTGTGGAACACAAAAACATAAATATCTTCAATTTAAAGGAAGTTAAACATAGATGAAACTCAAATCTGGGATTATGTTTGAGGAAACGTCGCCATCTAGTGACCATGAAAATGCCGCAATGCTTTACATTTCCTTCAAAAACAACCTTTTCTTTCTACAACTCGCAGCACGTTGATGTAAAACTGGTAAATGTTCTCTAAAAGAGAAGCAGTGACACAAAAATAAACTCACTGGTTTGCTGTTGGTTTGCTGCAGGAGTTTTATCGTCTCCTCCCATTCGTTCTGTTTATTCTCCTCACACACCTGGAGAGGCGATCTCTTTTGCTGGTCCTCGATGTGCTGTTGTAGGAAAAGTTCGTATAAGAATGAATATAATTTTAGCACTCTCTTAAACTGCATTTTGGGTTTGTGATTTTGAACAATGATACAGTAATGTGCTGGCTAAATGTGCATCATGCTAAATAAAAATCAGTAAAACTCTACAAGAGAAGCATGCAACTATATATTTACCTTTTTATTTGCCAAAATGAAATAGTAGTTGTAGCAAAATGTATTGTAAAAAATTATATCAATGCCTGCCTAATTGGATCAAACAGCTCATCAAAAAGAAAGGAAGGAAAGAAACCTATAATGTTTGATACCCGATCAATCTCAGGGTGCTGCAGGAGCAGCTTCACTATCTCAGCGTGGCCTCCTCTGGCTGCAAAGTGCAGAGGTGAGCTGAGCTGGCCGTTCAGCAGGTTTGGATTGCAGTTGCCTTTGTCTAACAGCAGTTTTGTCGCCTCGACTTTACCGTGCCTGAAATAAATCACGTAAATACCAAACTTTATAATAGGACAAAGCAAGGCCTCAAAAAAAAACCTTTAAAGAGTAGACATTATCGGACTCACCAGCAGGCGTAGTGTATGGGAGCCCAGTGATCGCTGTCCAGCTGCTTGACTGAGAACCCGCTGTCAAGAAGCTTAGAAAGCAGATCTGTGTCACCTTCACAGGCACTGCGGTGAAGAGGAAAGTCCTCCACCCACTGGTGCTCCCTAAAGAAACAAGCGTTTACATAAAACTACACGTAAAGAAAATACAAACGGATGAAGGAGCAGAAGTTGATGATAAACGTTAGTATGGTTCATGTAAGAATGAGCCTCACTTGTCTTCTGTCACACAGTTGGGGCCATGTTGCCATTTCTCCCTTTTAGGAATCTGGATCTTGGAGTAGTCCGGTGCTCCAAGCCCAAAGTATGGGTTTATGATTACTTTATCCACCTGGAGACAACAAAATGAAGGTGAAACTTCAGTGCAAAGCAAACCTAAGAAGTTAAGAAGCAACAAATTCCCATTTTTTATGCTTTTTTTTTTAGGAATAAAACAAAATTAAGAGGTGGAGATCTCTTACTCGATTAGTGTACTGCAGATCTGAGCCAAACAGCGGGTTCAGGATGCACATATCTGCCTTCTCCAGGGACATCATCTTGCTCTTAATCTCCAGGGCAGTGTAGCCCATGTGCAGACCATCCTCGCTCTGTTTACCATCGCTGCCGTAAGCTGGGTTGTTTACGTTGGTCTTCACGCGCTCAACGGGAGCCGGCCTGAAGAGGGCGGGGATGGCGTGAGGCACGGTGTGCTGCTCCGCTAACCACCTGTGGAGAAACAATATCCAGACTCGTCCAAGAGCTGTTTTCTGGAGCATTCATAACTGCGCTCTACATAGAGATCTTCTCACTTGTCCAAAGCCAGGAGCATCTTGGAGGTGATGGAGCAGAAGTGAGTGCTGGTTTCACTGCACACACGCATGATGTCCTGGAAGCAGTAAAAACTGGGGCTCCCGGAGTTGTGGATGGACTTGCTGTTGTCTGTGCAGAAGGCCTCATTAATCCACAGCATGCGAAATCTGCAGAGTTGGTTATATAAAACGTATTGTCTGCTCACCTTTAACGCTGACTGGCACGACAAAAAGAGAGGCCTCTTTCCCTTCATTGTCACCTTCAAGAATAAATTTCTTCATATGCACCACACGCTTTCCTGCAGGCCAAACAAATTCATATAATCTGACAATCATGCCAGTCCTTGTGTTAATACGTAGATATGAGTCTCACCCATGAAGCTTTGATTATTGGAGATCGGTCTCACTGTTTCATCAACATAATCCAATATGGATCTAGATTTGTCTCCTGGTTTAATCTTCGTCGCCAGAAGGACTTTCTTTCTTTTCTTCTCCTTCCCCTCCAAAGGCACTTCTTTGAGCAGGATCTTTAAATGTGCCAGAAGAAAAGAATACTTAGCTTTATATTTTTTTATACATTTGTCTACACTTATAAAATGTTTGGAATAAGTACATAATAGCTTCTTTGTGTACCTCATATGCTTTGGCTTTGTATTCCTTTGAGGTAAGGCTGACTTGATTCTTTGGACGAATGACGGCAACAAACACGTCTTCTAAGCCGTCTTCGTTGCCCATCGTGCGTCTTTACTTCAGACCCAAGCAAACATCCAACATGGGGGCCAAATGCTGTGGAGAGGCATGCCTGAAAGGACAAACGACATCATAACTGGGACGGACATTCATTTGATGATCAGGGTTAAAATTAAAATAATGGGTTCAATCAGCAGAATTTTATTTGCCTCTATGTTGGTAAGCTTATTGTTAATGTTGTTTTTAAACCAAATAAGTGTTTTTAGGTTTTAAAATGTAAGGATTTGTTGCTTATGTGTTCATTTATAATTTTAGATCTACAATATTAATTAAAACATTGCGCAAAGGTTGATAAATGTGACACTAATATGATTTTTTTTTTTTAATTAACAATTAATATTAACAAATATTAAGTTTTACAACAGTCACTTGTGTTATCCACTTAAAGTGAGTAAAAAAAATGTATTATTTAAGTTGTATTACATGTTTATTTCCTTGATATTAAGAGCCTTGAAAAATCCACAGGTCTAAGTTTAAAAGTGGTTTTAAAAATAAATAGCGTAAAACATTCTTGTGAGAAAGAAAGCAAAATATAATGAAATTAAGGCCACCTTAAAACTTCTACACAGTAATGTATAAAAACTATTTGTGCCGTTTTACACATTTCATTTTAAATACATCCACTCCAGTATTTATTGTGAAAACGTATTTAATAAAAGGCAATTAATATTCAAAACTTTACTAATTAATATTGCACCTGTGAGACAACACTTACTAAACTTTTAACTTAGGTGGTGTCAAAATATACACAAGTACATTTAATAAATTTAATGTGCTTCATGATAGTTCGGGTTTTCTTCACGTTTGAGCTGCAATACATGTTTTAAAGCAAAACACAGCAAACATTCACTTTTATAACAGTTCAGAAACGGAGTTCAAAGGAAGATCACGCCCCGGAAATCAGACTTTAAACTCTTTTTACATAAATTGGAAAACGCAATGTGTATGTCACACCTGAAAATATGCTGCTGGATTAATCATATGCCTATATATTCTCTTGTAAACATTAAATAAAGTCTGCCTTTTTTAATTTGTCGGCATTTTCATAGCCGGGATGCTACACTCATCGCCCCCCGCTTTTCCGCTCGACAAGCAGCTGAAACTCACCGAATGCGACGTGACTGTTACGAAAACGAGTCAGACGTAACTTCTGCCGTCCTTCCGGTAGCTCTTACTAAAATTAATAAACAGTGCAAAGCCAGGAAGCGGCTTCGAGTTTCCTTTCAGTGCGATGTCTTGGGGGGGTTGAAGAAGGCCCTTTTTTTTTTTTAACTCAGGGCAGGGTTGACATAAACAGAAGAATCGCATTACTGCGGCGGCACTTGACAAAGAGTGACATCTAGTGGTGAGGTGGAAGCAGTGCAGCAGGATAAAATAAAAGATTTAAAGACGAACTAAGCATATTAATAGTTATGGACTAGTCAGTTTGTCATTCGCACTAGAAATAATTTTTTTACCGATAGCTTAAAAGAAAAAAAAGAAAAATAAAACGAACGAGAAAGGATTCTTATTTGATTATATGTTACAAGGGCTTGCCTTAAAATTAGCTAGCTAGCTACCGCTCAACTTAGCTCAGCACAGTTGCTAGGCAACCAGTAAATAGGGAAGTCGCTACTAAAATTTTTCAGTTCTGTCCAGACAAATCTATAGATAGAAACGAGTCCAAGTCTCATTTGTTTCTATTAGTATTTTGAAAATGTTTTCAGATGTATGTTATTCAACAAATGACGTCAAAATCAAGAGATGTTTTTCAGTGCTGTATAATAATAATAATAATAATAATAATGTCATCACAATGTCAGCACTGTATGTTTCCATACAATGGCGAAATTAGTCTCTGCATTTAACCCATCCACCACCAGGTGGTGCAGTATAAATGAACAATGTTGGTTTTATCAACTTTATGTGAAAATATTTTTTGAAGGAGCAGCCTCAAAAAAAAACAAAAAAACTTCACAAATTCATTTCAGAGTAAGATAGTTTTAATCAGCTAATAAAAAAAATGCTATGTCTCATAATTTGTACATCAAATCATCTTAAAAAGCGTTGAGCAGTTCTGAAGCGTGCGGCCCTGAACAAGTTGCACAAATGCGAGCTGTACTTAACCCAAAGTAATTACGGTAATTCATTTTATTAAACACAATGTATAAAACTTCAGCATTTATTGAGATGCGACACAAAATGACAGGTCGTTTTGTGCATAACAAATACAGTCAGTACAATAACTATATTGAAAATAAAAGACCAGCTGCATCTTAAGTGTACACATATAACATGGCTTTGGTTTTGTGTATAGATTTTAAATATTACATAATTTGTCTTTTCACTCTTTTTTTCTGCTTTATAGACACTTTTGTGTTGCTGGCGTCAAACCCAGACAACATGCTTTCTTTGTGGGTCTGTGTTCAGGAGGATTCATTTTGACACGCTTTCAGCACATCATCGAACTTCTCCTGGATCTCCTGCACCCTTGGGTACCACTTCTCCCGAATCTCTTCTTCATCGTCTTCTGTAACAGCTGTGTAGCCCATCAGCGCCACGAGGCCTTTTTGGAAGAGGTTTGCAAAGTGAAGGCAGTACTGCTTCATTTTTTCATGGTTGCGATTGCAATCATCCATGTACACCTCCAGCACAGGCCGGCCGAACACCAAGTTTCTGTTCCCCGTCACGTTATTGTAGAACACTAGCAGGCTCTCCTCAGAGTGGTCTCCCTCATAAATCTTTTCAAAGTCAGCCATGAATTGCTTAGCTTTGGTCTGGTGTTTCTTTACCTTTTCTACCATCTCAATGAAAGCATCGTACTGGTGCTTGATGCGCTCCTCATACTTTTTTAAATTTTCATTCACCTCAGTGACGCGAATCTGCTTCAAGAGTTCTTGATTTTTTTCAGAGATCTCCTTCAACTTGCTGTTGATCTCCTCAAAGTCTTTGTCCAAAGATGGATCTTGGCCATCTTTATCGTCCAAGCCTTGTCGAACAGCACCAACCACGGAGGAGACGATACCAAACATGGGGTCGATCGAGGAGGCAAAGGAGGTCACCTTCTCCAGATAGCCCAACACTTTGACAGCAACTTCCTTCATTTCTTTTTTATCATCCATATCGGCAGCTTTTTATTTTTTCCTCCACACGGAATGATGCTGAAGGCTGCATAGATGTAAAAATAAAAATAGCAACATTTTAAACTAAATATTTTACAAGACCCTCGAAACAAAACTTGTGAATTATCGCAGCAAATACACAAGTCAGGTTGATTTTTGTACACCGCATTCTGTAATTTAATCAAAAAGGAAACTTCCACTTTCAAGGGATGCAAGTAACAATATTTTAATTATTCATATTGGTTTTTTTTTTTAGAGATTTATGTTAAAAAAAGAGAAACAAACAAACAAAAAGAAAGAAAGACCATAAAATGTCTGAGGTTAAGGAGCAACGCAATAATGGAATTGTAGCCCTAGATAAACTTCCTTAAACAAAACTCATTAAGTTTTACATATAGGACAAAAGCTTTTTATTAGCAGTGCAAACTAATATGTTTATTGGTTTTATTTTCTGATTGAATACAAAGCAATCAAATACACATTTCTGGAACCATAGAGTGAAATTAAATCATAGTGCATCTTTCTCATAGCTGTGGCATTATTCATGCCTCTCAATCTTGTCCTGCTGGAAAAATTCCTCAGGAACAACAGTAGGTGTGTCTTTATTTATAATAACACCAGTCAAACTGAATGGATCTAAAAGAATCACATAATGGATCGCTGAATAATAATGTATTTAGCATCAAATACAACCTTTGACAGCTGTTTCATGTGCCATTTTAATGTAAAACTCAAGACGTGTTTTGATTTTGGTCAGCTTCCTTGAATTCAGGCGGCTCATAAAGGAATCAGACAGTCTCTCTTGTTCCAATCAGTCCCAGATTTCACACACAGAGATTAAACAACCATCAGATTAGAAATGTTAAACAACAAAGTGGCTCAAATGTACTCACCCAAGGTAAAACTGTTTAGATTGCTCCGTCTATTTCTCCTGCCTGGCTTTTCTTTCCACCATTTTAAATGAAAGCCAGCCAAGGACCGCCCATCCTTACCAAATAAGGCAGTGAACACCAGGAAGTGACTCTTGCCCTGTTCTGATTGGATGAGAGGACTTCCTGGCCACAGGCTGCAGCACTACTGTATTCCTAAAAATTGTCTTTGTTACACCTTCACACGCTGATAATAAGTGGAACATATACACACATTCTTAGTTAACATAAATTAATGGACCACATACAGAGTAATGTGGAAATAATTACCATTCAGTTGTTTAAGTGCCACTTGAAAACACGCCTGTGAATATTTACACTTGTCACAGTTGTGTGGTAAAGATGACATATTATGTCAGAACGAGACGTAGATGTGTTTGTTTGTTTACAATACAAAAATGTAGTAGTGTCATAATAAATCATGCTTCATTTTTTATCGCCCATGATAATATGACTCTGTGTGTGTCTGTGCTTGTCTGTACAACAAAATATTTCATATTTTAGCTAATTGACTTTGTTAAAGTAATTATTTAGTGCAGGGGCGATTCTAGAATCTGCCCTTTAGGGGTGCTTAGCCCCCATTACTGACAATGGCTCTTGTCTTGCACAATGCAGTGGACATTGGTGTTAGAAACAATTGTAAAGTGTGTGTGTGTGTGTATATGGGGGGGGGGGGGGCACAGTGGTGGGGGCATCTGGGCGTCCTCCCCCAGAAAAATTTAAATAAAGTAGATGCCATTTCCTGCATTCTGGTGTATTTTAAAGGGTTTTTAAACATCTAATTTTACCTACATAAGCACACTTGATTCAGTAACAAATTTAGAAAGCATGGCACAACAAGAAGTAGCGCTAATCTAGCAGCGCGCAATACAGAAATGTAACTCTAAACATATGCCCTTACGAAAACTACTATTTAGTAAAGTATTTTGTTAATCTGCTGAACAAGAGATGCACTTGGGGAAGATTTTTTTTTATTGAGCAATCCCAATTAATGTTTGTATCTGTTGTTTTTCTAATATTCTAAAATTTAGATTTTTATATTCCGACACAGCAATCTTAATTTCCAGCTGCTCATAAATGCATAAGTCTCTTTTTGCTTCAAACAGTCACAGATTTCACACACACATAATAAATAATCTTCAGATTAGAAGTTAGATTCCTATTTACTCACTGAAGATAACGCTGTTTCAAATCATCCATCTATTTTTGCTGCCTGGCTTTGCTTTCCAATATTTTAAATGTGAGCCAAGGACCGCCCACCCATACCAAATAATGCATTGAACACCAGGAAGTGACTCCTGCCCTGTTCTGATTGGAAGAGAGGATTTCCTCCAGATGCGTGACTAGACTTTAGAAAACAGGCTGCAAAACAGGTCTTAGATATTATCTTCATTCTTTGTTACATCTTCTTGTAGCTTCATACATTGAAAAATGTGTAAACATATATGCAAATTATAAATTAACATAAATAAAAGTACAACATACTAATGACAAAATAAATAGCATTTATTTGTGCCACTTAAAAATCAGTGAGTACATTGCCTTTGAAGTTTTTGACTTTTCACAAAACATTAAAAAGATACCATCTGTTTTTCAGAACAGTCAAAATGTGTTTATTCCCAGCACACACAAAAAAGTACTAATGTCAGAGTAAACGCATAAGTCATGCTTCATTTGTTGGATTTGTTGGATTTGTTGAATTTATGAATTTCCAGCTGGACAAAGAAGATGACTGCTTATCCTTAGCCTGGTTCTGCTGGAGGTTACTTCTTATTATGAGGGAGTTTTTCCTTTCCACTGTTGCCTTTGTGCTTGCTCAGAATGGGAGACTGCGACGAAGTGAAGACTCAGCACGTCTACTGGCTTCCTTCCTTCCTTAGAAAACTTTACTAAATGGCATTTATAATTTATGTTTTTGTTCAGTGCCCTGAGATAACTTCTGTTGTGACTTGGCACTTTATAAATCAACTGAACTAAATTGAATTAATTTTTATCGCCCATTGTGTTTATGTTTATGTGAATCTTTGTGCGTGTGTCTGTTTGTCTACTGTTAGCAAATTTACTCATAAATTAGCAAAATGACTTTCATAAAGTAATTATTGAATGTACATCTAGAACTAATTAATTCTGGACTGCCAGAACAAAGCGATCTTATCAAATTGGAAGAATTTGATAAAGATTGATGAAGTCCTTTGGATGAAGGACGAAACGTCTCAGCAAAAAAAGAAACCATCCAGATAACCTGACTGAACATTGTTGGATCTTATCAAATACAAAAATGTCTCTACCTCGGTCTATTTTACAGAAATTGAGTTAAAGTGTGATGTTAGCAGCTGAGAGTTGTGCATAAGTCAGAGACATGACTGATTAAATTCTCAGATTTAAAAAATACAGTCATTTAGGTAATTTAATGAAAGGCATCACACTTGATTGAGGAAAAACAAATGCATGTCTTAAGAACAGATATTCTTGGAAGCTTTTGTTCAAGTGTGTTTGATTCATAAACAGCCTCTGCTTTAACAAATGCTCTTATCAGAAGTGGTTCTTAAAGTGAGACATTATTGGTTTTAATATTAATCAAGTCCCTTTTCACTTTTATTAAATAATGCAAAAAAAAAATCATTAAACAAATGAACTAGACATTCAAACTCCTGTGACTTCCTTAGCAACTCTGCAAGGGTGAACGTTTTTATTTCACTTATTTCTATTTAGTTTTTGATTCAGTTTATTTTGAGTGCTAATTTCCAACAAAGTCTTCTCAGGGCATTGTACAAAAACGTTTGCAAACAATTAAAATATTCAATTAGTAAAAGTTACCTGTTTATGGAAGCCAGCGGATGGTGATGAATCTTGTTGCAATCTCCCATCCTGAGCAGCACATTGGCGACAGTGGAAAGGAACAGCTCCTTTGTAACGAGAAGAAACCTCCAGCTGAACCGGGCTTAGGATGGGCTGCCCTCTGCCTCGACTCGCTAACGTTAGAGAGGACAGATGGTAGACAGAGCAATACAAAATGGCTGGTCCAGGTGTAGTTCCTATAGAAGAAAGACAAACAAAAACATGGACAGCAGAACTAGTAAAGACAACAGCAAAGTGAGGAAATGTGGTCCGTTTGTCTTCCTGCAGTTTAAGCTTATAAGCATAACTGGGAAAGGTTAAGAAACCCAAGCCAATCCTAAGGATTTATCAAAAATTAAATTCTTAAGCCTAATTGTAAAAGTTGACAGAGTGTCAGCCTCACAGACAGAAACTGGAAGTTGGTTTCACAACAAAGGAGCCAGGTAACTGAAAGCGCTGCCTCCCGTTCTACTTTTAGAAACTCTAGAAACCACATGTAAACCTGCATTTTGAGAGCAAAGTGTTTTGTTTGAAAAATAAGGAACAATAAGATTTTTAATACAAGATGGAATTTACTTGTTGGGAGCTTTATTAGAAGTGTAGGATTTTAAATTATATTCTGAATTTGACAAGGCGTCAGTAGAGAGAAGCTAAAACTGGATAAATTCCCCTTCTAACTCTCATCAGAACTCTGGCAGCGGCATTTTGGATCAACAGAAGATTTTTTTAGGTGGCACGGTGGATCAGTTGGTAGAGCTGTTGCCTCACAGTGAAGAGGTCACTGGATCGAATCCTTGTTGGGGACCTTTCTAGATGGAGTTTGCATGTTCTCTCTGTGCATGCATGGCTTTTCTCTGTGTACTCTGGTTTTCCACAGACCAAAAACATGCATGTTAGGCCAAGCTGAAACTCTAAATTGTTGTGAGTGAGAGAGTGAATGGTTGTTTGTCTCTATATGTATCCCTGTGATGGACTGGAGACCTGTCCAGTGAACATGGGCACCAGTGACCCCTGCGACCCAGAAAGGAAGAAGCGGGTAAAGATAATGGATGGATGGATGGATGGATGGATGGATGGATGGATGGATGTTTGGAAACAGCTAGAAAAACTGTAAAACTGAGAGAGAAATGTTGAAAAAATAAAATAACATTGCACATTTGACTGGTTTTCCAAATGTTAAACACATTATTTGAGATGTGTAGATATTTATACATGAGACAGAATCATGTTCAGTAGTTCACATCTAATAGATTTTTATTCTTGTAAAGTAGTCACATTTTTATTTGGAATTTTGTAATTTATTTTTCCTGTAGCTTATTTTTAGTTTTATTAATTTAGACCATGGGAGCTGACACAGTTTTAATGGGGGTTAGGGGTTTAACAGAGAGGTGTGTACGACTACAACTCTGCTTCCTGGACTGGACCCTGGGGTATCAGTCGTTTGGATAACTAATAAAATCAGCGAAATATGATTTATTATTCCACCACAACCCAGACAAAAGCCTCAGTTTCCTGAATCCAAGGTTTGACTGTTGGTCGGAGCCTCCCTTCCAACTCCATAAAGTGACCAAATGATTCATGATTCAATCTGTACTGACTGAACGAAAGGACTTCCTCCAGTTGCATAACCAAAGGCTGCAAAACTGGTCTTAAATACTTTATTTTATCTTTGTTATGTCTTCCTGTGGCTTAATACACTGAGATTAGGTGAACCAGATACACAACTTCTTAGTTAACATAAATGTAAGGACAACATAACGAGTACTGAGGTGACAATTATACAGATGTTCAAGTCTGTGTGCATACCTGTTTTAAAAAATTTAAATGACAGGTATGTTTTAAAGATCCAGTTTTCATTTTTCAAACAAAAATAGCACACAAAATTGTAGTCATGTCAGAGTAAACATATAAGCTATGCTTTATTTTTATAGCCCACAATAATGTTTTTACTGTGACTCTATGCATTTGTGTGTGTTTACTTATCTGTACTGTACTCATTGAGTACTCAATAAACATGTCAGAAAGTAATTAGTGGAGGTACATCTATAACTTCTGGAGTGAACCAATTCAAGATGGCCGCCAGAGCAAAGCGATTCTAGCAAACTATTTTACAGATGTTGAGTTAAAGTGTGGTGTGTTAGTAAAGTTATGCTCATCTTATACTCAGAGTGGGCTTTAAATGAACAAGACAAAGGTTAAATAATAATAAAAATAATAAAGGGCACTGCCCTGACAAATAAGTGGTTATTAAAGTTAGTCATTATTAGTAGAAATTAGTATTATTAGTTAACAATCAAGTCCTCTTTTGCATTCTTTTAGTACATAATGCAAATAAATAAATAAATAACATAATGCAATGGGGAAAATGTAAGCTGTCTCCAGATCTACAAACATGAACCAGACACTCAGGCTCCTCGTCTCCTTAGCAAGCAACTCTACAAGTATGCAAATCTGGTTTGTTGCTCCACTGCAACAAAAGCCACACTGCTGCTCCCAAATCCACGGTTTGAGTCGACGCCTCGCCTTCAACACCAGAGTGAACTTTCCCCAGGATGCCGAGCATCGTTACTGTACAATGTGCTGATTTCACCAGCAGAGTACAGTGTTGGATGCAGAAGCATGCTTCTCTGTTCTGCTTAGTGAAGATCTTTCAGTTATCAGGCTCCTCTCTTGTGGAACCAACTTCCAATTTCTGTCCATAAGGATGACACATTGTCCAATTTTAAGATTATATGTAATACTTTCATTTTTAATAAACCCTATAGTTGGGGTTGGCTTGTTATGCTGCCATAGGCTTAGACTACTGGAGGCCAAATTGACCTCATTTCTTAAAATGAGTAGTTACAAATGCATATACTGTATATGAATGTTTCTGTTCAGTGCCCTGAGATGACTTCTGTTGTGACTTGGCGCTATATAAATAAACTGAATTTAATTGAACATTTTAAATGTATTGGTATTTCTTAGTGGTTTTTCTGGGTTTTAGCTAAATTCATTCAGTCCTAAATATTTAATATATAAGAATTTATTCTCATTCTGGTATTTCTGTAGCAGCAACAAACAAATATGATCTAACTGGACAAGTTTGATGCGTAATCTTTGACTTTATGGACAGTGATATGAAGTAGGAAAACACCTACTAACTTTTCCAGTCGTCACACACACCTGAACACAAACTCTTCCGTCCTGTATCTACTCATTTTGTTCACTGCATTTTATGGGATGCAGTTCTACTGGAATGAGTTATTTTGTGAAATGCTTTTGTCAGTTTTGTGAACCGATAAAGAGTGACGTCTAACACTACGTTACGTTTTATGTTTGAGGTTTAGAAGCTGCAACTACAACCAGTTTCTTTACACATATATAAGTTAATGTTAAAGTCAAACAAAAGCATAAAGTTTGTTTTAAATTGTTTTGTTTTTTTCACAGTCAACATTTTGTAGACTTAACTGTATTCCCTGTCTAATATTGCACAAAGTTATCTAATTTCAAATTCCTATTTTTGTTTGTTTGCAGACCTTATCAATAATTTTCTGCAAAATGATAAGAAAGACTGTGAGAAAACAGTCAGCCCTGGCAGATGTGTGTATCTACTGTACCTTTTTAGGTAAACGTGAGTTATAATTGTTTTTCTTTTTGATTTTTTACCAAACTTTTGCCTTTTTTTTTTTTTTTAACCCAAGCTGGAGCGTTATATTGCAATTTCTGTTAAGAGACTGTTTCGTTTCAACGCAGTCATCGATATGGTATTGAATAAATGCTTTAACACAGGATTTGTGAGTACCGCTCTCATCCCCACCCCCTGGCATTTGTACCACGACTGCGCTCCCACCTACACTCAGCTCAGCTGCTCATCTGTGTTCTTTTTCCCACAAAAAAAAATCCTGGTTAACCCTTCAGCTCTCATTTTGTCTCAACTCCTGTCTGCCCATCGTTCACTGGCACCTGAACTGGACTGAGGACAAACAGCCTGGTTTCTTTCAGGTATGAACTGGAGTAAACAGCAGCAGGTTTGACTCAGCACTGCAGTTATGTGCTTCACTTTTTGGGATTAGAAGGGTTTAGGTCTTCTATTGAATTGGTCCATTGGAACCATGCCGAGCCTGACCTCAGGTCAGAACCAAGCCAAATTGCATTCACTATTTATTTTTTATTCTGACAAATGCAATACTTTCATAAAGCAAATGTGATTTACACTTTAGAATAAACTGAACATTAGCTGAACATTTGTTTTTTAAGCTTCTGAATTGAACTAAATCTAGTGGGGTTTTTTTGTTGTTTTTTTTTTAGAAAATTGTCTTTTAACTTTAGATATCTTTCTCACCTTTTACCTAAATTCCTCAAAATACTTTGCTATATGCCAGGGCAAGAATGTAAATAAGAACTAAATGATATGCCTGGCTAAATAAGATTAAATGAATAAAGGAGAAAAATCAGTATTATTTTCATGTATTTTATGCACCCTGTAGAGTTGCTATGTGAGAAATTTATATTTTTAACACAAGCTTTAATTTGACACCTGGAATCTGGAGCATATGGGTCAAGACAACAGTTTAGGATTAATGTTTATAGTACTGCTCAAAAGTAACATTTACAGCCTGATTTCGGCTCATATTACAGACCACCTTTATGGAGGTTTATTATTAGATCTCTTTCTGTCTATTGAATTCATACTGTAAAACAGCATCTAAATGTCCATTTTCTTTCATTACATCAAGTTATTTATTTATTTTGCTTTTTTTATTTGCTTCCTGTGTGCATTTGTTTTCAGGACTAAAACATTGTACATAAGGACATACATCATACTAGGTCAAGTAAAAATGTACAAGTTGGTACCAGAGCTGATGGTCCTGCTGGGGTGAGTGCATTCAAAACTTGACTCGGAAAACAAGCTATAAGTAACTATAAGCCTAAACTGTAAATGGCAAATAATTTTTAGTAAACAATACCATTAATTAAGATGCATAGATATTTAAAAATATCTGCAAAAAGTGCAGCACAATGTACTGCAATGCAGCTGTACAAAAACTTAAAGTTCAATACGTCATTTGTATATTTTAACCCCTTCATCAACATCAATCTCCCACTTTCTTTGATCATCCATCATCAACACAACCCAGAAAACTTAATCTCTTCTACTTCTACTACGCTTACACCCAACCCTGAGAGGTCAGTGTACCTTTCGGACTGAAGACTAGAGCCTAATTGTAGAGATATATGAGACCTATAACACACGAACTACACACAAGTGGCGGGAGAAGTTAGGATTAGGTGTCTTGCTCAAAGACACTGCAACATGTGGGCATGGCGGGGAATTGAACCTGTGACTTTCTGGTCCCACAAAGCAGCTGTCCTGCCATTGCACCCCTTAGTCGTAATTCAAGGTTATTGGTTATTCGTGTCACATGTGGTACATGAGGTGGAATGAAATTGTGTACCCAAGGTCCCAGTTTCACCCCAAAATAGCAAAAGTAAAAAGTATAAAAAGAAACAGTACACAAGGATCTAAGATATATGCTAAACACTAATAATATATGTAAACTGATATGGTACATTAATCTTGGCTTCCTCAAAATTACCTGCCAAACGCATAAATGTTATCCAAAATTGGAAATCCTTATCTCCCATTCTGAGAAATGCTATCCATAGTTTGTAAATGGAACAGATGCCAATTGTTAGCCTCATAAAAGTCTGGAAATGAACCCTAACTTACCGCTGGCATTGCAAACCAGTTAAGCTAGCTGAACCGGTACCCATCAGATTTCCACAATCTCAGCTTCCATTATGGAAAATGTTTCCTTTTATCACTGGACTGAATCCACAGTTGAGTTCAGTAAAACTAACTTAAAACAATGTTTCAGAGCCTTGTTTCTTCCCTTTTGAGACATCTGATAGGCTCAAGTTTGTTAAGAAGAAAGTATTGTTTTACAAGTCTTCTTACACTTATTTGTGTACAAATAAAAAGCCTCATGCTTCCATTCTAATGCTGTGATTCAAGTACTCGTTCATTGCTTCAACAGTAACTGACTGTGCATTAAATTTTTTTGCTGTTTTTAGAGTCATTGGCGTTAGCTCTGGTGCAATTCAAAGACCTGATTATGATGACACACCCAACCCAGAGTTCCTCAACCCTTTCTGGATGGCCAACATCCCTGATGATAGGCCTCTGTCTGAAGTCACCGTGCCAGGAACCCACAACACCATGGCCCTGTATGGCGGGGTGTATGCTGAGTGTCAGACGTGGAGCCTGGCCTCCCAACTCCGTGCTGGCATTCGTTTCCTAGACATCCGTTTGCGTTACATCAACGGAAACCTCACCCTCCACCACGGAGTGTCCTACCAGCGAGGACACTTTGGCCACGTTTTAGAGGCTCTGGTGGACTTCCTGCATGAATACCCAACTGAGACGGTGCTGATGCGTGTCAAAGAAGAGTTCAGTGAGTCTAATAACATCTACAGTGCTGTGGTAGACTACATCCATCGCTACGCTTACTGGGACCTGCTGTGGCACAGCCGACTGGTGCCTACCATGGGCGAGGCCCGAGGGAAACTCATCATTCTGCAGAACTTTATTGGGCCAGACTTGGGGATGCGCTATGATTCTTTAGACATAGCTGATGATTGGAAAGTATGAGAAACTTTTTTTTTTTGTCATAAAATTTTATTTATATTTTACACCAAAATATTAAACCGTCAAAATTAACAAATTATTTGGGAAAGTTTCAGTAAATTTTCTCTCTTTTTTTGTGTGTGTGTTGTAGGTGCCCACACTCCTATATTTAGAAAAGAAATGGCAAAGTGTCTACGAACACCTCGAGGCTGCACCTGCAGGAAACCTGGAGCAGATTTTTCTTACCTACAGCAGCGGAGCCGGTGTGTTCGCACACCCCAGAGCCGTCGCACTGCGCATCAACCCACAGCTGTATGACTACCTGCAGGCCAAGACGGACCTGAACCACCGCTTAGGAATCATATGCATGGACTTCCCTGCTGCTCCTATTGTCCAAATGATCATTGACTTCAACTAAAATGGTCATTATTGCTGAATACATTATTTAAAACATCTTTGTTGATAAATGTGACCAAACTACAGATGTTTGACTTGCTGTAACTCAGATTTAACATTTCAAACAGTACAGGTATGTCCATCCATCTATTTGTTTTCCCCAGATCGTAGGCGAGCTGTTGTCAATCTCTAGCAGTCAATGTGTGAGAGACGGGGTACACCTTAGACAATTCTTCTGCTAAGTATCTAAATTTGGCCCTTTGTATTTAAGATTTAATTGATTATGCTGCTTGGGAAATGTCCTTTACACAACATTTATTGCTTACAAGTTGAAGTAATGACCCGACAATTGCAACTTAGAAGGTTTTACTTTAAAGTTCTGCAATAGTCCACAGTTTTGTAGTAACAATGCAGCTGACTTTGTGTTTGTTACAAAAAAAAAAAAAAAAAAGAGATAAACTTTGATTAAACATTTGACAAATGAAGAAAAGCTGAGATAAAAACCCAAAACATTTTTATGATATTTATCTCTTCTTTAACCACATGGTGACACTATTGCTGTTTTTGTTTGCATAAAACAAAATTCTGTGTGGATAACTTCTCTTTTTCTAGGTTTTTTTTTATTAATTTTTTTAAGGCTTTTCAAAGTTCAACTAGACAACCAAAATAAAAAAAAAGCACAATAATAAACTGTTGTGGAAATATTATCTACTATACTCACACATAGTTTTTAGAACAAAATGATGAGTTAACATCTAACGTTGTATGTATCTACCTGGATTATTGAGCATGCACCAGGACATGAGTTAGGTCGTTTATTATTGCTGAAATAATCCAAATGAAGATAACGTTTGGTTTTTCTCCACCTGAAGTGTTAGCTGGTGTTAAGGTCTCAGCTGTCTCTGGTTTGGAGTTTTCTGTTTTTTAGGGTATCAATCATTGTACTACTGGCCACCAAAAGCAAAAGGGCAATGATGTTTTTGCCTTTGTTGGTAAGTTTGTGTTTGTTTGTCTTTTAGCAAAATATCTCATGATCCAGTGGATTTTAGTGAAACTCAGAAAATAATGCTTTAATGTAGGTACACAAATCATTTACTTCAACCCAATTTAAAATGGTCATTACTGCTCATTGACCTGGAAAAAAACAAAAATTACTCTGACGAAAATAAACAAAATCTTGATTTGGTAGTTAGCAACATTCACACTAATACTCTAAACGATACATCTCAGGAGATCTTACAATATTTGTTATTATTTTTTAGACAGACATCACTGTGTCTCTTCTCATTATAAGATAATTCTACATCAAAACTCTGAAATCAGAGGCAGTGGATGGATATATACAGCACATTTCTTCAAGGAATGCTAGGCCATAGATTTGATGATTTCTTCATCTCCCCTCTTACAGATTTGTCAAGGTAATCTGTTTCCAGTTTTGCAGCCATGACTATGTCACTGTCTGTAAGCAGAACTTTTAGTCCTTTTTCAAAGGTAATATCACAAGAGAATTGACAATAAAGCTGCAACACCAATGTGTTCATCTATATATTTTTTTCAATAGAGGGCAAATTAAATATTAACAATTTATGATTAATATTCTTACATGGTTTTTGCTCAGAAAAAGGTGGGAAAACATTGCATGTCTCAAGTGCAAAGTGTACCTTATCATGCAATAATAAAACTTTTTTTTTTCTTCTTGTTTGTGTTTATTCTTTATAAAATTATACAACAGATCAAGTGTGTAAATAGAAAATTGTTGTCTAGGGTTAAATAAAATTTGCACAAATATTGGCAATCTTGTGTTTAAAACAGATAATCTTATCTGGATCATCATTTAATAATAAGGAAACCCAAACTAATTATTATATATATGGTACTGTGTGGCTTAAATTAAAGTTAGAAACAGTCTCTAGCAGAATAATCAGCAGCTTTATATATATATATAAACAGGGTTGCAAACAAGTAGTTGCCAATTTAGTCACAATTTTTCTTACTTTTTGATTATTTCAATAACTGTAAAAATTCCATATAAACAGGGGGGGTTTTTTTCACTCTAAGACTCTTATACATGTCAGTCTTCCAATAGGAGAGCCAATATAAGACAAAATTATCAAAAATATCTCTAATGGAAAATAATTATTAAGAAACAAAAAAAAACAAAGGTAGAACTTATGCTCATCAAAAAATATCCAGAGATTTGGTGAACACTGACTTTTTTTGAAGAGAACACTAATTAAAGCCGATGAGCTACAGCTGTGAAACCTACAGCTTGAGGTTTTTTTAAATCCCAGATAGAGCACACTCCTTTAGTTGAGACGTCTCCGGAAATTGACTCTCCTCCTCTGTGAACTCGGTTCGAGATCGGGCGGAGGTTTGAGCTCACGGCGCGACATAGGAAGTAGGCAACGGTTGTTGTGGCTCTCAGAGAGA